CGTTAGAACTATTTACAGATGTTCCTGTTCTCTTCTTCCTTCTGGGAACATGGTAGAATTGTATTTCCCACTCCCTTTAAAGTTGGGGATAGCCATGTGATTTGTTCTGGCCAATAAAATATGAACAATAATAGCGTGCACCATTTCCTGGGAAAGCATTTAATTACCCAATACAAGATACTGCTACTATATCTTCCCCTTGCTGTAGGGGAAGCACACAGGGAAATGGAGGCTTCATCAGCTTGGGCGCTTGAGGGACAAAGGTGAGCAGAGCCTCTTGCTCACCTATACTTGAAGTGTAGCATAATCAAGAAACAAATACTACCAATCCACTGAGATACGGGGATTTACTAAGATCGGTCGCATAACCTTGTCTATCCTGACCACTCCATTCCCTCAGGACAGGAACGGTACCATTTATCTTTGTGCCTCCATGGTGCCATATTCAAAACAGACTAGAGGGACTTCCCTGGCGGTCCAGTGGTTAAGACTTCGCCTTCCAGTGCAGGGGTTGCAGGTTCGATCCCTGGTCGGGGAGCTAAGATCCCACATGCCTCGTGGCCAGAAAACCAAAACATAAAACAGAAACAGTATTGTAACAAATTCAATGAAGACTTTAAAAATGGTCCACATCAAAAAAGAAAAATCTTAAAAAAAAAAAAGACTATAATTATTGTATTTAAATAACTCACAGTGTGCAATTTCAGATATTTCTCTCTCATCTGTTTCTGCTGTCTCATTACTAAAGCACACTTTCTGCTCCATTTTGGCACAATTCTGGTTTCTAAAATATAAAAATTAAAATTTCTAACCAGTTCATAGTCCGGGGTTGATCACTCACGTAACATTTTGTGGAGAATGAGATGCCTACCCTCTGATGACTGAGTGAACAATGCCTCCAGCTCAGCTGTAGCAGTGCTCTTCGGGGAAGTAAGGGAGGCTGGAGCATGGGTATGAAGCTCTGAGTGGTAGGGCAAAGGGATTATAATAATCAGCTTACTAGGGGAAGTGAGTGTTACAGTGCAGGTCTCCCTGTATCCTCTGCCCCAGCAGATGGCACAATAACATGTAATAAAATTTTTCTGCCATTTGCCTTTATATGCCTTAAAAACCCTCAGTTTTGAGCATATGATTCTGTGAGGAAAAAAAAAATCCTCTTTCTATGATCCTTTTTAAATGCCACTGTTAAACAATGGACTATTCAAAAAGAAAAGGGGTGCAACACAGAGCCCCTGCCTGAAATTCCTAATGTGTACTAATTCTCTCTGTAATCCTTACAGTAACTTGAAAGGCATATTTTTTCTTCCTCATGTAAGTATATTATTCATCACTCCAATCTTATTTCATGAACATTGGCCCAGAGCTACCTACTATGTACATTGGTTCATAGAATTAAAAACAAAAAGCCCACAGCCTTCTTACTATTTTCTTCTACCTATTAATAGTTCTAACACAATGTCTGTTTCCTCCTCTGGCAGCCACAGCTCCAAACACGCCCTTTCATAGGAGAAGGTCCAGCTAATCGCAGCCCATCTGTTTCATATTCTGGAAGTTAAAATTCAGCCTGCAGGCACTGTCTCTATGATTTATGTTTCCTAAAATCAATTTAAAATTTTTAGCTAGAGTTATCAAAACTTTGAATTTTAACTTGAAGTTTTCATTTTTATAAATGCCAAGTGCTTTATTTTGGAAGGAAATATTTCTACGTTTACTATAACTATAATGTAATTTCCTAAAGATACTTTTCTAAAAGACAAATCTTCAAGTTAAAAATCAGCTTAGAGAATTTTTAAAATGTTTGACAAAATCAATCTATGGAAGGAATCTAATTTTTTTCAACCTAAACAAAGTGTTTAGGGACCACAGGAAATATTTCTTCAGTGTAAAAATACATAAAACAAACCTGTGAGCTCAGGTCTATGCTATGAACAGAGTAAGATCTTCTGCCCCATATCACCCATAACTACACCCAGGAGAAGTCCTTAATTTTCTCATTGGGTGGGTTGCTGCCTTGCTGCACATTTTAAAATCTATCAACATAACACCAAGAAGAAACCACAAAGGAAAAAGAATGATACATCCCCATACACAAATATTTAAAACCCAATACTAAATTAAATACTAAATTAAAAGATTTATAAAAATTAGAATATTTACAACGTAATATCTCAACAGAGAAATCTTTTACAAATCAACTATACACACACACACACACACACACACGCACGCATGCATGCACACACACAAAAGAAGATAAAAAATGACGAGTAGACCTAAGGAAAAAGAAAAGAGGGATTAAGCTCTCCAAATGACATTCTTCACTCAACATATAAGGGAAGATTTTTTTTTTTACATCTTTATTGGAGTATAATTGCTTTACAATGGTGTGTTAGTTTCTGCTTTATAACAAAGTGAATCAGCTATACATTTACATATGTATATGTATCTCCTCCCTCTTGCATCTCCCTCCCACCCTCCCTATCCCACCCCTCTAGGTGGTCACAAAGCACTTAGCTGATCTCCCTGTGCTATGTGGCTGCTTCCCACTAGCTATCTATTTTACATTTGGTAGTATATATAAGTCCATGCCACTCTCTCACTTCATCCCAGCTTAACCTTCCCCCTCCCCGTGTCCTCAAGTCCATTCTCTATGTCTATAAGCGAAGATTTTTAAAAAATAGTAACAGGATGAGGGAGGGCATAGAGCTTACTTCTGGTGGCAGTAAATACTGATGTCAACTTTTGGGAAAGTAGTTTAACTACATATATTAAAACCCCTATAAATGTGGATTTCCTTAAAACCACCAGTTCTGGGCTTCCCTGCTGGCGCAGTGGTTGAGAGTCCGCCTGCCGATGCAGGGGACACGGGTTCGTGCCCTGGTCCGGGAGGATCCCACATGCCGTGGAGCGGCTGGGCCCTTGAGCCATGGCCGCTGAGCCTGCACATCCGGAGCCTGTGCTCTGCAACGGGGGGAGGCCACAACAGTGAGAGGCCCACATACCGCAAAAAAAAAAAAAAAAAAAAAACAGTTCTAATTCAAGGTATTTGTCCTCATCCAATCATTAGACAAGTATCTGTAAGGATTTTATTGCAGGGATTTTGATACACATACAGATAAAAATATCTGGAAGGATGCATACCAAAATACTAAGGTGTGAAGATCAACAAATGAAACCTGAAAAAAAAAATCACCAATTTTTTTCCTTTTTATTACTCATCTGTATGTCTAAAGTGTCTGTAACAAAAACTTAACTACTTTTGTAACAGTTTGTCTCATTTTTATTCCCTTTTTCAGAAAATGTACTTTAAAAGCATAGAAAAGGTGATTGGAACTTTGGGATTCCTATCCAGGGTTACCCAAAAGTCAAACTGTATTCCAATCAAGAGCAGATGAAATATGAAAAGCAAAATGGTAGGCTCCCTTACACAGCAACTCTTGCTTCATTTCTGGTTACTTCTACCTACACAGAGAATTGTTCAAGGAAGATGTTTACCATCCCACATGTAGTCAAGATAATTTGGGCCATAAAGTCACAATTTTCCATACCTGCACAATGATTTTTTTTATGAGACCATACACCTGAACAAAATCTTTGGGAATGCAGGATATGGCAGGCAGTAGAAAAGAAATTGACACCAACTTTCCTAAGATTCCCCAAAGTAAGAAAGTATCTCTTTCCCCTACATTGACTCCAGGTTACACACTGGAAAATAGCAGCAAGTGAGGAATGCCAAGCGTAGACATAAAAACCAGAACATGACCATGGACTGTGAGGTAGCCAGGCTGGCAGGTGTAGGACTGAAATGGCTGCATGCCACAGCAGTAAAATGCCTGTGACATCCACACACTTACAATCAGTTTGGCGGTGTTTCCAACCCAGGCTGAGGAATTTCATTTTCCCCATATTAGGCAGTGACAAAGATTTAGATGGACCAAACATTTTATATTACTGTCAACAGCACTAACATAGGTTCAGCTGGCAGAAGAGAGGGAAACCAAGAGTGTCTGCATTATTTACTCCAAAGAAACGAGCTGAGCACCATCTGCTGTCAGCCACCACCACCATCACCACCACCCAGTGCAGCTCTTTCTGTACCACACCCTCACCCCACTTCTGTGAGCTCCCCCAGTCTCGGCCCAAGGATCTGAAATCCCAGTGTTGCCCTAAATATACGTTTAGAAAGTTACTTACAACAGAGCAGTTGGTAACACAGAAGATCTCTTAAATGCTGCAAAGTGTTGTCTACTCGTGTCCAGCTGCAAAAATTATCTACTCTTCCAACCTTCCTTCTAAGATTAAATGCAATGCTATAGTGCTTCACCTACATAACGTGGGGGGATGGGGGGTGGCCAGACCATACAGTGTGGAAAACCAGTATTCTCACACTAGTGTCTATAAACTGGTTCAAGGTCATAAAAGTAGAACAGGAAAGCCTACTGAATTAGTAATAGGAAATAGATTGCATGAGCAAAGACAAGTTTCCAAAATACCTACAAACCACACGTGGTATCTGTGTCTAGCCGATTTTTTTCATGGCCTTTCAGGAAGTGAACTATCCCACTCTGAAAAGCCAGAAGAACAGTATTAGTAAGTCAGTCAAGACCAAAGCCAAATCCAATAGTGATTATAGTACTACATTTGATCTCTGTGGACTGTAGAGGAGAATATAAAAATGAGACCCCTCAAGAGCTTTTCATTAAAAAACAAAAGCCATTTATACAGAAGCAGTTCAAATTTTATTTATAAATTTGTTTAAAAGCATATAAAAGATTTCTTTTGCTGACATTTGTGCCCTGAATTAAGAAAATAGGGATTCAAATCTAAAGGTGCCAAAGCTTCCCCAAACCTGATCTGAGAATTAGATAAGAATTAGCTGTTTAGAGAGACAGGCATGCAGCACCCACAGCTCTCACTAACCTGACAGCATCAAATGATTCCCTCCTTTTCTATCTTACTAACACGTCTATAATTATACTTCCAATAAGAGGTGAAACCAATTAGAAAAATAATGCAGCATTTCACTGGCAGTAGAGATTAAATATGAGTTCAGTAATCAGCTCCTACAAACATGCATAAATAATGACAGGGAGAAACCAGTCATCCCCAGCTGCTCAGCTGAGTGGGTGGGCAGTTGAAGTCAAGGTAAAAACAGTGAGGCTGAACAAAACTGCAAGAAGGAATAACATCTCGTGTGGTTTTTCAAGGTCAGTTGACAAAGGCCAGTTGTAAGCAAATATTTCTTATATATCCTGGAAGAAAAAGAAAACAAAAATTAGTACCAGCAACAAAATTCAAAGCCTACAAAGGCTTTTGAATGAAGTTCCTCCAAAAAACACTCTACCTGACTATTTTTTTAATGATTTCAAGTCCCAGTGAAATGATTTAATTTTCAAGTTCCATTTTGAGTCACAAAATGGTCTCTGTCAACAATGTAATGGCTTATTGAACGACAGCTCATCAGCTGTGTTCTGAGAGATAGGCTAATACGGGTCACAACTAATAGTGTTCACAAATATTGTCAGCCACCTCCATAGTTACAGCAAGGACAGGGCAAATATAGTATGGAGCAGAGCAATTTAAATGGAACTGTATGGAGTAGAGGTGCACTGTATTATACAGCAGGAAGGTGACTTCTAAGGGGACGTTGAGGAAAGGAGATAGACTTAAATGAGTCCCCTCCCCCCACTATGTGCAAACAGTCATGACATCTCCATCATGCCTCCCAGACTGCTGGGCCAAGGTACACCTGGGATTCAGACTATTGGTGCTCTAACATTCTGGGAAACTAAAATTTCAGGTTGCCTCATGGGTCATGGCAAATGCTTAACTGCCTTTGAAGACACTGGATTCAGCGTTGCCACAGCATCTCAAAGGGTCTCACCTACTGGTATCAGAGAAGGGATCGTTTGAAGTGATTCTTTAAACATCCTACCCTAGATGCATCATGAAAAGTAATAAAGGATTCTAGAAGACCAAAAAAAATTTCTTAATATAAAAGCAATTTTAAATTATCAAAGAATATTGATACTGTGGAGAACAGTATAGAGCATCCTTAAAAAACTAAAAATAGAATTACATATGATACAGCAATCCCACTCCTGGGCATATTTCTGGAGAAAACTATAATTTGAAAAGGTACATCAACCCCAGTGTTCACTGCAGCACTATTTACAATAGCCAAGACATGGAAGCAACCTAAATGTCCATCGACAGAGGAATGGATAAAGATGTGGTACATATATACAATGGAATATTACTCAGCCATAAAAAAGAATGAAATAATGCCATTTGCAGCAACATGGACATGGATGGAGATTATCATGCTAAGTGAAGTAAGTCAGACAAAGACAAATATCATATGACACTCATATATGGAATCTAATTTTTAAAAAATGATTCAAATGAACTACTTACAATACAGAAGCCGACTTACAGATATCTAAAACAAATTTATGGTTACCAGAGGGAGGGGAAGGGATAAATCAGGAGCATGGGATTAACACACACTACTATATATAAGACAGATAACCAACAAGGACCTACTATATAACACAGGGAACTCTACTCAATATTCTGTGATAATCTATATGAGAAAAGAATCTGAATAAGAATGAATACATGTATAGGTATAACTGAATCATTTTGCCATACACCTGAAACTAACACAACGTTGTAAATCAACTATACTCCAATAAAATTTTTTAAAAATAAAAATTATAAATAAATAATCAAATAACAAATATGTATTAAGTAACCTGAGAAGAATGTGATTTAAATTAGAAAAAGCTTTAAAAATAAAGATCGGTCTAATTTTTCTACCCAAAATATGCTGATCAAAGGCCTACTACTTAAGTGTCTATATGATTTTTCAAGAAACAAGTTTTTCTTTCTTTGGGTTTCATCATAGTTTTATCATATTTTCTGCCTTCCTCCTTTCTTTCTCTGTCTTTGGCTTTTTACTGATTCCAGCATATCCTTCAAGCCCCATCTGTGAGCTCTCCTCTCTCATTCCTTGTAGGAGCTTAATTGTCATCTACCAACTTCTAAACAAATGCCACATTCTAAATATATTCTGTATACTAACCTCTTGTCCACTTGTTATTTATAAAGCATATCCACAATAAAAGTTTAGTTTATAACTTTTCTTATTTTTGTATGGTGTCCTTTGATGAACAGATGTTTTATTTTAATGTATATTTATCATTTCTTTTTAGTTTATACCTTGGGTCTTATGAAATCCTCCCTAGCTCAATTTTATAAATAGTCTATTTTCTTCTAGAATTTAAAAAGTCTTCCTTTCTATTTATAAGCTTTACTCTACCTGGAATTGATTTTTTTTATGATTTCATGTGGGTACTCAATTGTCCCAACAGCATTTGTTGAAGAGTCCATTTTCCCCTTATGATGGGCTCTGCCTTTTGTCATACAACAAAATTCTAGAAATAGTTGGGTCTGCCTGTGCCAATTCTATACCATATTAAATATTTTATTAAGTCCCATATGTACTTATATATTTTTAGGAGTGAATTGGCTATTCTTGGTTCTTTGCTCTGATTAGAATTTAACTAAATCAACGGATTATTTGAGAGCTCATTCATATCCATTAACAAAACACCATTTATTTATTCCTTAATGTCTTTCTATAAAATTGTATATGTATTTTAAAGGTAATATACATCTTTGGTTTTACCTTTTTATTAGGTTTTTTTGTTGATTCTCTATGCGTAGAGACAAAGTTAGTTCTTATATATTGATCCTCTATCTACCAACATGGCTAGGCCCTTGTTTATTCTAATAATTTTAATATAAATTCTTTTGGATTTTCTCGGTAGATAATTGTATCATCTGTGATTTATAAATATTTTCCTTTTCAATACTTATATCTGATTCAAAAGAAAAGCTTTTGATGTGTTTTTATTATAGAACTTTGATCCCTGTATTAGCTAAAGAAATTTCTTTTCTATTCCTAGTTTGCTAGAAGTTTTTACTGCAAATGAGTATTGAAACTTATCAAGTGCTTTCTCTGTATCTATTGAGATGATCATATGATGTTTTTCCTATAATTTATGAGGTAAATTATCTCGGAGATTTTTTTTGTTTGTTTGTTTTTTGTTTATTTGTGATAAGCCAAGCTTTTATTTCTGGGACGAATATAATTTGATAAGGATATACTATGCTTTTTTTAAGAAATTCATTATTGAATCTGTCAAAATTTTGTTGTGATTTTTTAAATCTATGTTTATGAGTGAGACCGGCCTATAATTTATTTTCTATATAGTCTTTGATTTTGATTCACAGTTACATTCACCTGCTCAATCCTTTGGAAGAATACTCCCTCCTTTTCATTTATCTGGAAAACATTCTAGACATTTGGAATAATCTGTTTCTTGAACATTTAGTAAAACTTTTCTGTAATATGTGTAGGCCTGGTTTTTATTTTATGGGAAGACAGTAACTAATCTAGATATGGTTTAAATCATTTTGAATTCCCACCGACAAAGTGTGAAAGAAACTGTTTCCCCCATCTTACCAACAGAGTATGTTGTCAGTCTCTTGTGCTTTGCCAAATAATAGATGAAAAATGATATTTTGGTTTAATTCTTAATTTGTATTCTTTTTGTTATAAATTCATTGGGTGCTTTAATTTCAAAGATTGTATTTTTTTATTCCTAGAAGTTCTGTTTTGCTCTCTTTGAAATCTTCCTGGTTGTCTGTATCTCTTGTTTTTGCTCATTGTTTCAAATCCAATATTTATTCCATCAAATGTTTTATACATAGTTATTTTAAATTCAGTATCTAATCATTTTATTATATCAAATCATTTGGTTCTAAATCTCTGTCATTTTGGTGACCTCAGCCACAACCACATGTTTCCCTGTGCTTGTGGTAAGTCCCAGTCACTGTGTTATGCTTGGGATAAATGCTTGGGATGAATCAGTGAACAAAACAGTCAAAGATGTTTTGACTTCTGATGGAAGATGGAACATAAATTACCACAGAGAGAGAATAAGAGTAATTAGTCAACAAAACATCCAAGAAAATGATGTTAGAAAATTAGGTTAGAAGTTGCAGAGTGCTACTGAATAAAGAAATGGAGACTGCAAAGAGAATGACAAGAGCCTGGGGTAAGGGCACAGGTGGCAGCATTAAATGAATGGCCAAGGAATTCTTGGAACTCAAGAAAATACTTGAAAGAGAACAAATCATTTGGACACTTTGGAGAAGAGTACAGAGGGAGCAGCCAGTTCTTAAGTTTTCAAAGAACAGCCAGAAAGCTGGCATGGCTGGGAGGAATGAGGAAGAAAGGCAGTAGGAGGAAAGTGCCAGAGGAGTAGAGTGGGGTCTAGATCATGGAGCCCCTGTAAGGGTTAGTAAATAGAAATCCTTTGGCTTTTACTCTAAGGACTTTGACTTTTACTCCAAACATTTGGAGAGTTATCAGAGCCATTGGAGGGCTTTGAGCAGAGGAGTGACAGGGTCTGACTTATTTTTCAGTCTCATATTGAGAACAGACTCTAGGTGGGTAAGTGTGGAAGCAAGGAAACCATCGACGAGACTATTTCAAGAATTGAGATGAGCAGTGATAGAGGTTGGGATCTATTATGAAAGAAGAGTCAAGAAGATTTGCTGATGGGTCAGCTGTGAGGATGTGAGAGATGGGTTGTACTGTTACGCAAACAGGAAAAAGTGCAGATAGAGCATTGGGGTAAAGAGGATCAAAGGTGAAGTTTTAGACATATTAAGGTTGAAATGTCTGTTAGACATGCAAGTAGGGATGTTGGGTAGACAAATGGATCTGCAAGTCTAGAGGAAGAGGTCTAGGCTGGAAATTGAAATTTGGGAGTACAGAGCATATTGGTATTTAATTTCATGAGAGTGAATGAGGCCATGAAGGTATTAAATGAATGTAAAGAAGATGGTCCAATGTGGATCCCTGAGGAACTCCAGTGTTAAGAGGACAGAAAGATACAGGGGATTCAGCAAAGGAGAACAGAAAAGAGTGGCCACTGAAACAGGTGGAAACCCAGGAGAGTACAGTGTCCCAGAAGCCAAGTAAAGAAAGAGGTTCAAAGAGGAGGCAGTGATTCACCATGACAAATGATGCTGATCGGTCAAAAGATGAAAATTGGGAAATAACCATTTGATTTTGTAATGTAGACAATGTCAGTAACCATGAGAAGAACATTGTGGTTAGACAGATATGGTCTAAATTCCACTTAGACTGGGTTTAAGAGAAAAGGGAGGAAAGAAATTGGAGACAGGATAGATACCTCAAAGTTCTTCTCTAAAGGGGAACAAAGAAACAGGACAGTAGCAAGAGGGAAAGGGGCTTCAATATATAATGTATATTTATTTAAGTTTTCTGCTGATGGGAATTTTCTAGGCAAGATGACAGCTGACAGTTCAGGAGAGAGAGAAGAACATTGTTAGAACAAAGTCCCCCAGTAGGTGGAGAAGATAGAATCTGGTCCATAAGGAAAAGCAGACATAAAGGAAGAGATGTGTGTAGGTAAGCGAGGTGGAGATGGGAGACTGAGCAAGTTCTCACCTTTGTGTCACTGCTTCTTTCACGCAAGGGAGAAGCCAATATACACTTTGGACTTGGATATGCCTATCTTACTAAGGAATCTTCGATCATCCTCACTCACATCACATCATGAGAAAGCAATGTTCCTCTCTTTTTATCTGTGAGGAACCTAAATGGAGATTCACAGCTCACTTACCTAAGACCTACCAATAGTCAGTGGTGAGCCAGACTCCCATATCCTCATTCTCCTAACAGCAGCCCATGCAGTCTTCATTTACTCTCTCCCATCATCTTCCCTTCAATCCCAGGTATTTTTCTATGTATATGTACCTTCTAAATTGGTGGTGGGGGGGGGGAATTATTAAGTAGAGGAGAAAATGTACAGCAAGTTTCCAAGTCCCATCCAAAATCTGAGTTTCAATCACATTTCACATCTTATAAATTCTATAAGCTTGGATAGTCTTAAATTCACAATGCCCTATTTTCCACATGACTCTTACTCATGTATTCTTATGTCAGTAATTTGTCAATTTCATACAAGATGCAAAGATACTGTGTTTTGATTCTTTTTTCTCTCTTACACATTGTCCCTATTCTGAATGCCATAGCGATACACATGAGCATACATTATAAACAGGCACATCTACTGTGCATTCTCTACAAATTTGCCTACACTTAATTATCTTCAATATATATATATACATTTTTGAAATCTATCCATAAATTTTAACCACTAGATGCATTCTAAGGAAACATGCATATAAGATTTCTAACAGATTGTCTTCTCAAAAATGATCTTTTGTCCATCAAGTATTTGTTAAGTGGTGATCTCCTCTAGAGTTTCCAGGTCAGCAAGCATTTGATTACTTTGTTGTATTTTACCAGTTTAAAGGTTTCTATCTGTTCGTTTTTTTTTGTTTTTTGTTTTTTTTTGAGTAGGTACATATACACTTGGGCTTCAGTTAAATTGTAAAACCCACTGTAGTTAGTTTTGATTCTGTACACATTGCAAACCCCACAATCCCATACATTCCAAAGCTTTGGTGCTGTTTCAATAATATATTGTGCACATAAAACACATTACCCACATATTACAACACAGTTGCAAGGTTTTCTTCACGGAAATCTGTAAGAACATTTCATTTTCAAAAAGTGCATTTTGCTGTAGGGGTTTTTAAAAATCATTTTGTAGTGAAAAATTAAATGCTGGTTTCTTTGACGTGCTAGTTTCACTGAAAGAATGCTTACTATTTTTATAACCATATTTCACTGAAAATCTTCCTGAAAAAAAATGTTCATTTGTTTTTGTTTTAGGTCTGGGCAAAGGGTGATTTTTTAAAAAGCCTTGCGGTCCAGGCAATCACACAGCAAACAAAGGGCAGGTGTCATTTTTTATTGTGATTGGCATTGACTGGAGCTGAAATCAGGCCCTTCTCCATCTCTCAGAAGCTATTGTGGAATTTACAGTAATCACCCTGGCTGACTGCCCATCACACAGCTGAATAGCAAGCCAAAGAAAAATAGTATCTGGCGAGAAGGCCACAACATATTTTTAAAACTCTCATTGTTTTTATTCTTCAACTTTGAAAGATTTTTTTTTAGAAAAAATAAAAATAAAACTCACCCAGCTGTTACCACTATTCATATTCCAATAGCCTCCAAAGTGCTGGAGGCCACCTGGTTGACTTTCACCTTGGAGTCGGTCCAGAAAAGCATTATTTACCCTTTAAAACAATGAAAAGTGTGTGTAAGTGGAAAGCTTGCTGCAGGGCTGAGAGATTTCTGAGAACCTAATGTGCTGTCTGAACAGACTGTGGGGACTGCTGCCCCCATTCAGCTCAGAAGAAATCTACAGACACTTCTTTTCACATTAACCATATGACATGCTGTGAACAGTCCTTTGGTGGAGCTGGTGCCAGTCTTGGCTCAGACCAAAAGGGGCATAAATTCTTAACTTCAGAGTTTCACTTACCCACCTCTACCAGTTCTACAAGAGCCTTGGTCACCCAAGCAACCACACCCCTCAGGGCCATGCCAGGAGTGAACCCCAGAAGCTGAGGAAAGATGGAAGCTTCAGCAAGAACTAAAACATAAAGAGAAACCAAACATAGCCCTGTGGTGCTGTTTTTGCAAGACAGATGTCCCTCCCATATATCCTGTACCCCACTGCCAGTATTGCTAAGGTAAATCCCATTAGTGAAAAGTAGAAGGAAAATAGGAAGAGAGTGTGGGAAAAGGGAAATACCAGAAGAAGGAAGCCCAAGCTTTCAAAAGAAGGGAGGGGTACATTTTCCCCTGATGTTCGGACATACTTGCAGCAACCAATTTCAGAAATTAAGTTTAACATATAGGAGGTAAAACGATAAAGAAAGGCAAGAAGTGATTATCATAAGGGTCAGGATAAGGTCACCTATAGGATGATGGTTATATTCTATTCCTGGAACTGGTTACCTGGATGTCCATTTTATAATTAATCATCCTAAATATTCATTTCATGGACTTTCTGTGTGTTATATCTTACAATTTTTGAAGTTGAAAAAGGCCACACCATGCTCTGAGTTGCCCATGTATGGCTGAGTAGAGTCAGGGACATGGTGGCTGGAGGAATAGCATTGTAACACGTACCCTGTGATGTGAACGGATTATTGAGGAACAGTGTCATGAAGACCATAGGCTTCTCAGCAGAAACAGAGTGCCTGGAGCACAGCAACCACTCAATCCATGCTTGTGGAAGGGAGGATAGGCAGGACCCAGTCAAGTTAGCCTCCTTTTTAGTCATGAAGTTTAGCGAATGTGGTCATGGTGGGTGGCTGTAAGTCAGCGACTGTGGGAGATTTGGGAACTTTGAGGAAAATGACTGCTGAGTGGCAAAGTCAGAGGCTGGGGGTTTGCCTAGCGGTCTTGCTCAGTGTGCCAGCTAAAATGCCAACTGCATGTTGACCCAGGTTAGTCTCTGGCTTATGGGGTTGCTGTTTTCTCCTCAACTCCAAGCCGCGTCTGGCAGTGGTCACATCTTAGTTATTAGAAGGCTTTTTTTATCTCTCACCATAAAATCTACCCAGGTGCCATATTCTGGTCAGCCTGGTTCACTGCAGAACTGAATGTTTAAGTCACCTTTTCTAGACCTCTCAGCATGCAGGTCAAAGTAAGATACTTGAGCTGGAGACTTGAATATTAAGGAAGACAGAACTGACCTTGATCCCCCGAAAACTACACAACCAATGGTATTCTGGACGGTCCATACGCCTGGGGCTGTTTTTATCCAGTCTTTTTGTCAGTAACAAAGATGGCTTTCCCTCAATATCCCCCATCCCACCCCACATCCAATCCACTAGAATTCTTGTTGGCTCCACCCACTAGACACATCCTAAATCACCCATTTCTTTTGATGACCACCATTCTAGTACAAATCCCTGTCATCTCTTATCTTGCTTCTGCCTCCACTCCTGCCCTCTGCAACCTGTTCTCCATACAACCACCCTACTAAATTATAAAAGGGATCATGCCTTCCGGAATTTTGTTTAGAACCCTCCCATGACTCCTATTAGTCTTAGAATAAAATCATTGGCTTACAGAATCTTCTATTTCCTGCCTACCTTTCTTACCTCATGTTGTATTATTCTCTTCCTCACCATCTATAATCAAATCATTTGGGACTCAGAAAGACCAAGCTCATTCCTGACTTAGGGCCTTTGCTTTTGTTCCCATGCTTGATAAGAGGGGGCATTCCATTGTATGATTTGCGCCCCCCAATCTCTATGTGACCAGCTCTTGTTTTTGGATGTCACCTCTTCACTGAGGAACTATCATCTCCAATCTCTCTCAACATCACTCTGTGACGTGGTCCTCCTGGTGTGTATCACTGTCTGAAATAATCTAGCCGTTAAATTGTTGACTTTTGTTTCTTTCCTCCAGATTGTAAATTCCATGCAGTCAGGGACCTTCTCTGCCTTGTTTACGCCTATTCCCAGTGCCTAGAACAAAGCCTTCACAGAGTGTGCCCTGATACGTAAGAGGTGAATGAATGAATTGTCCAGGTGCATGGTCCCCACCTCGGCCTGCTTCTGTGACTGCTGCTGCATTGTAAAATTTCCCATGGTAGTGAATGTAGTTCACTGTCCACTGCACTCAATTCACTGAAACACTTTGAAGATGGATGACTTGTGATGCACACAAGATGATGTGATTCACTTTTAAGCATGTTACTAAGAGGACAGCAGAGTGGGTCAACCAGAGATCATGGGTGGTAAACAGATTACCTTTTTCAATTTCTATCAAGAATTTGTAATAGGGAAGAATCTTTTGTATTCTACTACAAGTTAATCACTAAAGGGATATTGCCTATAAGCTTAAATTATACAGAATGGCCCATTTTTGAGAACCCTTCCTCTCAGATAATGAGGTAAAATACCTTTGTTCAGCTCACAGGAAGCATCCTGACCAAGCCCACCTGTGAATGACTGCAAGGAGGAGGAAATGAACACACTCCCTCTGGAGGCTGACGGGAACCGGGAAATGTTTGACTTTACTCCCTCCCCTTTTAGTATAAAAGAAGCCTGAATTCTAACTCAGGCAAGATGGTTCTCTGGGACACGAGTCCATCATCTTCTCAGTTTGCCGGTTTCCGAGTAAAGTCGCTATTCCTTGCCCCAGCACCTCGTCTCTGATTTATTGGCCAGTCATGGGACGAGAAGTACGAGCCTGGACTCAGTAACAAATTCAAATGGGGGAAAAAAGTACTAGTTTATATTTTTGTTTACTAGTGTTAGAAAATACATACATTTCATTGCTGTCAAGCTAGTGCTCTGAATTTTCTTCTAAGGATAAAAACTATTGTTCAAGGATGGTCCAAGTTTCAATAAATCAGTTCAGTTCATTCCAATTTCCAGCTTGTGGCCCAGATCCTTTCAACTCCTTGACCACAGTGCTCTGTCTTTTCCCACTGGAGCTTCAACTTTCTTCTCTTACTCAGAAAGTTACACTGGGTCAGGTTCAGGTGCAATCAGGTTCAATCATTCTGGGATTCATTGTAAAGCTTATTAGGAATCTACAAGCTTTCTATTATAAAACTCAGGGCTGCACTTTCTGCTATGTGAACTTCCAAACAGTAGGAAACACATTGTCTTTTTGTCTCCAATAAAATTATGTCCCTGGAGAAAACCTAACTTATGTCCCATATGCTCAAACTACATAGTTTGTATTGTTGCCCTCAGCAGGAATGGACACAGCTATTTTATTCATTAAGAGACAACTGAATGAGTATTTTCATATAACATAGAAAAGCTCACTATAAACTCCAAAGGACAATACAAACATAAGCTTTTATCAAAAGCTGATAGAGAGCATAAAATATGTTTAAAGACTTGATCAGTTGTTTCAAAACTGATTACTGAGTTTACTATCCAGAGAGATTTCCTATTGGATTAAATTTGGATCTACATTTAACTAGAATCAATAGAAAGAATAGGAGATGTAGGAAATAAATAGTGCCACCAATATTTAGGTATTCAGCAATAAGGAAATAAAGAATAAGGGTCAAGGTTCCTGTAACAAAAAAGTAATCTTTTCCACCTCTAATCAAATAACGCATTTTTATTGGGTGCCCATTGAAGATTAATTTCTTAGCAATGGGACCTATTAATGTGACATACCACTATCTTTAAAATGCTTAAAGCTTTATAATCCAATTCTCAGAAATTCAGAGAAATAACTGGCTACAACTAACCAGTGTTATAGAAATACAATATCAGGTTTTTTAATAGGAAGACTTTTAAAGAGAAGAAAAAGTAAAAGGCTAAACTAATTCATGACCTACTTTATTATAAAATAGGTAGAAGTAACGGTTCCCCTTTACCCAACAAAATAGTCTAACCAGTGTATCAGAGTTTTTATGTTTCCTTATAACCAGAGAAGAACACATAAATTCACATTTGATATTTTAAAACTGTTCTGACTGGGCTATGGAAGCAGAAAAATCCAGTCAAAATAATATGAGTACACATCCACAGTTGGCCACTGCAGCAGAATTGGGAGCTTCCATTGGGAGTCTCATTTACAAAATGAAACCACCACAATTTAAAAATACACTTTAGTGATAGTGGGAAGGTTAAACACATAAATGAAGCCAGTCAGTTTCAAAAGAATTTGCTCCTTTAAATCATAAAAGCCTTTACATTAAATTCTTCTCCTGAGACAATCACACTGCAGTAAACTCAAATAACCCAGCTGCTCCCTAGGAAAATCTAGAATAATGATATCTATGGTAGTTATTAGCACTGGTCCAACATCAACATGATATTCTGGGTACTCTTACTGCCTGACATTAGAAATAAGATAGAGACTATTTCCACTATTAAAAATTACTTACTGGTTCTATTTTAAGATTTTTTCCCTAATATGTTAGTCAACATAAAACAACTTTAATGGTAGTTCTTGTCTGAGCTTTTATATTCAAGTGTGAGTATCCTACCATCTATACTAGTTCAATCATTCTAAAGTAGTCTACAAATGGTGAAGCATCATATCAAAGGATTAATATGCTTTGTTCCATGGGGGGAAAATTAAGTATGGCCTAAATAAACACATAGCTTGAGAGCTGATTTCACTTTCTAGTGTCAATTTATGCCACCAGTTCAGAAAAATTGGATATTGTATGTGTATGTGTGTGTGTGCACGCATAGCAGCTGGCATCCTCACACATACTACACCCCAATAATATAAAGATTAAAAGGTAATATAGATTCCAAAACTGTATTCAATATTACTTTAGTGTTTCCCCAAAACATTGAAAAAACTTTATAGGTAGTGTTTTAGCCAAGGATGCTCATTTTATTGCCATTTATACCTCCTGTGTTCAGCCTGGTGGATTTTGGCTCTTTCTTCCTCCTCTTGCTCTCGTTTAAATTCCAGTAATTCACTCTAGGAACAATGAAATTTTAAAATATGGTTTTCAATTAACATGGCTGTACAGAAGACACCCAAATCAATTAAGTATTTGACCTTAGCTGGTACAATATTTCATTTTCGAAACTTTTACTTAAGTACCATTTCCGTGTGAAATAATTTTCTTACATAACCAGGTAGCAAAAATAATTGTGCCTTAGTCAAATAATAACTCTGTGAGTGTAAAATTGTGAGACTAAAAAGCCAATGTGCATGTTCAAGATATTGGACCATTCAGTACAACGTAACACAGAGGAGAACACAATGTGAGCCAAACTCACCTGTGTCTTACAAAGAAAAACAAAACAAATTAGTTCCTTAACGAATGTTACACAATACTATTTCTTGGTAATTTCTCTAAAAAAAGCTTCTTTTTCCCAACAAATTCATGGCTACTTAAATATATATTGGACTTGATTCTGTAGAGCAATTCCAAAAACACTTTCCATTCTGGAGAATAATACTCACCTATCATTGACTGGTCACTTCATATACTAGCAGAACTTTGGACTCCCTGGAGAGGATACTTTGCTTTAAATAGGAGACCATGTTACTAAAACTAAATCTCTAGCTTCTGACATTCTGATTATATTCTTGGAAGAGGCAACAACTTCCACACTCAGTTACTGTGTTTACAGTATTAAACCAAAGAACTAGGTGCCAGAGAATCTCAGTACTCAACTGCGTACAACTTGAGGCAGACCAAGTTATAACCTCATGTCAAAGACAGAAAAAGGCAGAGGGAAGTTATCAGGCCCATGTCATAAGTTAGTGCCTAAGTCAAAGAGGTTTTCTGAGAGAGAAAATATTGTCACCTCTTGATAAACACATAACAACACATGTATTTTTTTAACCCCCAAACTTCCATGATGAAAAGTATAAAATAAATTCAAAGTTCAGATTGACATTTTATTCTTTTAACTATATTCAAAGGCCTTCCAACATTCTACAGTCTCCACAATAAAAAGACTGGTTTCTTATACTGTGATAATCCAAATATGCTACTCATTAATCCCTAAAGCACATTATTTAATTCTAATTTCTACCTAGCACCAATGACAAGGGTAAAATTGGAGACTTTTCTAAATAACTGAATAATATTCATTCAGCCACTTCACAAGTACTTATTAAATACCTAGATGCCAAGCCTTGTGCTAGAGAATCATTCTCTACAATGGCATAAAGTCTTTCATTTTAATTTTTGTCGCTATATGAACATAGTTTAAAAGTCTACCAAGCAACAGTACTACTTATACTAGGCTTATATTAAAATAAAAGAAGCTCCAGTCCTCTCCCTCACCCACACAATCATGTTCAATTTTTGTGTGTGGTTTCATCTGTCATTTATCTCCTTCAAAGCATGAATATTCTATTTCTTAATTTAAAAAAAAAATAGTATTTTTTTTTTGGCTTCCAACCATGGAGAAGATTTATATCTCTATTACTACCTCCATCCCAATTCCAACTTCCCTTCCTGGTACACCACCATCCTCATCCCTCATCCTTACAACTTTTTTTTTAAACTTTCAGTGAGGTGGGGGAAGGGTCCTAGGGGTCTTACCATTCCTGAGTTAGATTTCCAAGTCATCCTTCTTTCAACCCTAGCCCTCAGAGATACCAGCTGCCTCCAATTCCACACTTGTATTGGGACTGCTTCAACTTCAGTGTTACCACTTCTTGAAAATGAGTTCTGCCTTTTCCTGCTCTACTTTCCAGTTTGAAATTGTGCTGATATCCTGGTTTGTTTGTTTTTTTGCTCCAGCCTCCTGGCCTGTTCTTTTGTTCTACATACTGGCTTATTGTGCCTTTTTAAAAAGCATTTTGTGGGCTTCCCTGGTGGTGCAGTGGTTGAGAGTCCGCCTGCCGATGCAGGGGACACGGGTTCTTGCCCGGGTCCGGGAAGAACCCACATGCCGCGGAGCAACTAGGCCCATGAGCCACAACTACTGAGCCTGCGCATCTGGAGCCTGTGCTCTGCAACGGGAGAGGCCACAACAGTGAGAGGCCCATGTACCGCAAAAAAAAAAAAAAAAGTTAAAAAAGCCTTTAAAACACATATATTATATATGCATATTACTACATATTTCTTTAAATTTTTTGTTGGGGGGGGTACGCGGGCCTCTCACCGCTGTGGCCTCTCCCATAGCGGAGCACAGGCTCCGGACGCGCAGGCTCAGCGGCCATGGCTCCCTTGTGGCATGTGAACTCTTAGTTGCGGCATGTGGGATCTTCCCGGACCCGGGCACGAACCCGTGTCCCCTGCATCAGCAGGCGGACTCTCAACCACTGCGCCACCAGGGAAGCCCTAAAATAATTTTTAAGATAGTTTTTTCAGCCTTGGCAAAAATGATACTGAAATTTATATGGAAAAAATAAATTTGCAATCATAGCAATAAAAAAATCCTAAAAAAAAGAAAAGAAATGAGGGAGAACCAGCTTCCCCAAATATTAAAACATATCATGAAACTACAGTAATTAAAACAATTTGATTGAGTCCAGGTAAAGACTTACTACATGGAAACACAGTTTACCATAAGTTGTTGTGCTAAACCCTTGCAGGAGAGATAGTTCAATGAATGATGATGGACTAGCCAACTACTGTGAGAAAATTAGGACAAGATCCTTTATTTTTATATCAAAATAAAGTTTATAGAGCCCTAGGATTTGAATCCAAAAGATGGAACCATAGAAGTTTCCAAAGGAGGCATGGGTAAGTTTATTTATAAACTTGGAAGGAGGAAGGTCCAGAAATCATAAAGGAAAAGGATTAATAAACTTGGCTGTATGAACATTCAAAGCTTCAATTGGGGGAAAAAAAAAACTTAAAAAAATGTTTAGGACATACATAGGCTAATTCAGTTATTCTTTTCTTCAGTCATTCAACAATATCTGAGTGCTTATTATGAGGCAGGCTTGGATCTACATGACAGAGAAATGATAATGAACAAGATACATGAGATCCTTGCTCCTTAAGAGTTTATATTCTGGAAAAAAGGAAGCCCATGAATAAGTGAGAAAAATATCTGCCCGTAATCCTATGCAGAGGATTAAACACACTGTTGTGAGGCTCAGTGGCTCAGTTCCTATTTTAGATGGAGTCTCAGGGAAGGCCTGAGGAGGTAGCTAAAGACCTTATATAAACGAACAAGGAAAACACAACCACCAAACAGAAGAAGGCCAAGGATAGGAGGAGGAAGTTGGCAGATAAACTACAGACTGCCTGTAAATTAAAAATAGTCATCATCTTCACACAAAGTCAAAGAAATATAAATCAAAACAATGAGATAAAATTTTTCTTCTATCACAGTGAGAGAAACTAGAAAAGTTTGATAGAGAATCAGGTACATCCTAGCACTTTGGTGGAGTGTCTAAGTTAATAAAAACTAATTTAGTTTTTGGAGAGCAATAAACATTGATATGTAAAATGTACACATCCTTTGCAGAAGTGTTCAAAGATATGTATAAAAGGAGAGGCAAAAAAAAGGAGAGGCATACTTGTATTATTGAAACAGTAAAAGTTCAAGAGAAAGTCTTAATGCACATTAACAAGGACCTGGCACAGTAAGGTAGACCGTCCACACAACAGAATACTATGCAGCATTTACAAAGAATTAGATAGACTGAGGGGGGTGCCTCTGGTGAGATCTCTAAGACACATTAAATAATAAAAGTTAGGTTTAGAGCAATTTTGTGGGGGACTCTTCCATGTAAATAGAAAAGATACACATACATCCATTTTAACTCATATGCTGGTGTACATCATATTTTAGACATTTTTATGGTAAAACACATACTAAAATGCTAACTATAACTATCACTGGAGATAAAAGCATAGCAAGTAGATAGGCAGAGGAAGGAAACTTTAATAACATAAGTAGTGTTTTTTTTTAAATTTTTGAACCATGTGAATATATTACTTCCTCAAACCATCAAGAAGGTTTATCTGTGTGGGAGACCATTTCTGTTTCTTTATGCTTTCCTTTATTTAAAAATCCCAATGGATATACAGTTTTTAATATGTAAAAATGTAAAAGAGCAAAATACTACATCATGAAGCCAAGGACTATCAGGGAAGAAAAAAAGAGGACAGGAAGAGAATAGCACGCAGCATCCTGTTACAGAGGCAAGGTCAGGGGAGAGGAGAAAACAGAGCAGGAGGGAAGGGTAAGGGAACTGATGAGACATCATCATGCAAGACCACTGCTCCAGGTGGCAGAAGGGGGGGGGGGCTCTAGCTCCACTGCACTCAGGATTATTATTCTATAAGCAGCAAACCATATTTACTAGGGAGAGGCTGGTTTTCCTTTGGTGGCACAAAGGATTATTTCAACTAATTAATTTGTTCTGCTGAACTGACAGCCACTGCAGATGCATCTGCATGCTTTATAAGCGTATTCCTGGTTCATTGATGCAGTTCTCACACATAAGTGCAATACCTCGTTGGATAGATACAAAATAAGTCATTCCCATGGTGCACAGCATCTGAGACACTGTCAAATCTTATCTCACTCAACACAAATTTGTGAAGCACCAACCATTTTCCAGACACCTGGATTCAGGCTGAAGGTACAGATGCAAGGAAGACCCAGCTCCAACCTGAAGGAAATCACAGTATAATGAGAGAGACAGACCCAGAAACAACTGTGATACAAAACAAAAAGATGCATTACTGAATACAAGTTCAAGCAACATGACACAGGAATATGAAGGAAGGGATGCAAATGAGAGACAAGGAATAAATGTTCCTGAATGTTCGACGTTTTAAGTGCATCCATGAAGGCTCCCAGGGGAAAGAGAGGGTGTCTTCTCACTGCTCTGCTCATCTCCCTGCATTCAGACAGAGCTCCATACAGAGAAGGTACTTAAGTACTAGGAAAAACAAAATATCATCTTGGAGATGCCAAGAGCAGAACCTCCTGTAAACACTGTTTGGTCAGTGAGGACAACACTGCAAACAGTGCCAATTTCTGTGCCCA